GCATATTAACTTTTTATTTGATTTAACTTTAGAAGAAAACTTCGTCGACTCCATCATAAAAGAAAAAATTTACTTTTTTAACGTATTTTATTATTTTCATAAACAATTTTACAATTTGCGTGCACAGTTCCAATGTAAATTTTGCCCTCATTCAAGTTATAAATTTTGCCACCAGATGGTGTATACCCATTTGACGGATCCCAATACGTCGGCTTTCTTTCTTTCTTGTAAAGATTGGCGACTGTTTTCCTAGGAAAGTACGAAGTTCTAAAGAAAATGAGGCTTTCAGCTTCAAGAATTTTATGAAGAATAACTCCGTCGTTCTTTCGCTGTTGATGGTTCAAATAATAAATAATTAAACGTTAACGTTAACTGCCATGTAAAGTACATCCGCGAAGACATTATAGGAAGCTCTTTCTAGTTCGGCTCTTTTTTTCTGTCATTATCTTCATGCGGTAGCTGATCCATATCAGCCCTTTTATAAACCGTTTCCAACGAAAAAACAGCTGACCTTTCAAGTAACAATTACAATATTACTTAGAAAACCGCCGACCTCTCTCCGACCATGCGGGTCGAATGCGTGAGAACCTGACGACCAACTAACGAAAGAAGGTACCTACCTACTCGCCACGAAGCTTTGCTACTGACAATTATTGCCATTTACGGGGCAAGTGACGCCGGAAAGCTCGCTAAACATTATACATGTTAAACAAGCACCGGCTCCGTTTAAATTATTTTTTGAACAAACACCAACAATAAATGATTCAGCGAGAGCAATGCTTAACCATTTCAAGACCAATAAGTTTCCAATTTTCCACGTAATCCTAGACACCATATTATACCAATATATCTAATCAATTTACATAAATGACAAAATATTTTAAGAAGTATATCAATGGGATAGTTCCCCCTCCCCCCATGACCTGAAAGTTTCTAAAAGCTTACGTGGAAATCTTAAAATCGGGCTTTTTTATAGACTTATGTTTGACCTCCTACGACCCATCAGAAGAAATTAACGAAAAACTAAAAACTAATAAAAGGAGTATATAGTCATATATATTATTATATTTGAATTTATTGATCAACCCTCCCCTTACGTTAATGCTAAAATTTCGAAAACCTGATAAATACGTATCACGGGACACTTGGAAAAACCAACTACTTTTTAATAACAATTCAATTTAACAATAATTGCTTACTTCGAAAAAATAAACCGTGCTTCTAGAAAATTATTTGATATATAAATTATCCTGCAGGCCTAAAATAAGAACAAGGACGATAAATTTTTTAAACTTCTCGCGTATCCTTCATTTGTTTAGCTACCTTCTTGATGTATTTTTGTTTCCACTTACTATTTCACAAGAATACCTTTGTATCCGCAGATAAGGCCCGTATATGCATAATACGATCCAAAAAAGGTTTTAAGAGATTATGTAGCCTGACTTACCATTTTCCTTCCGATGAAGTAAAGCAATTTCTTCAGTCCTTTTGAGCGCTACATCTCTAATTTCCTTGTAATCTGCAAGGAAAAACAAATACTACTATAAAAGAAGTCAATTACAAATTAAAACATTTATAATGCAATTAATTAATTACATAACTAATTGTACGATTACATACTACGTCTATATGTTTAGTAGTTTCAAAGTTTATGATAATAGCTGGAGTATTTGCGATTTTCATAAGGTTAGTTACGATTATATACCATTTTAAATGTTATTATCTATGTAGTCTACCGATACTTCATTAAGAACCATAAATAAACAATATAAAGGTAGTTATGTCACACACGCCACGAAACACAGTTGCGGGACAGGGCGTCAAAAAATAACGCAGTGTTTGAATTTTTCTTCTTAAAATCTAATATTAAGTAAGGGAAGTCATCCACCATAATGGTGATCTACTATCAACGTTGAGTTTTTGACTTTTCGCTAACCAATAATCGCAGTACGCGTAACAACTTTGACGTTTCGCGTTTTGTCATAACACTTCTTCAAAGCAGACCTAAGTTAGTAGCTCCTAGTTTATAATTGTATAGCTAGGTATAAAGTTGGCTTTAATTTTTTAATGATTTCTAGAGAAAGGGATGAAATAGAAATTGTATATCTTCAGTCTTAATAATTACGTTCAAATAACATTAATAGTTTACAACCAAATACATCATGAAGTGCTATAAAATCCAATCAGTGATTTTCATTAAAATTCTAATCTCATCGTATAGTATGCGTAGGTACTATAGCTGGAATGAAAAATACCTTTTAAATTGTAACAATGCTTTCTTATCAGCAAATAGTCACGAAGAGTGCAAATGCACTTTTCAATCAAAAAGACATTAAACAAGTTGTAGTGATAGAACGGTGGATTATTTAAGTGACTGATTACATCAGTACAAAAAAGTTGACGAATCAGTTACAAATGCCGATTCCGCAGTGAAATATTTCGATTCACTTCTTCTTCAGTTAAATATCACTAATTTACTGAGAATAACAATGAATTTATCAGTGACTTTTAATCTCACTGTAACTGTTTTACTTTTGGAAGAAAGATATACATGTCACAATCAGGCAAATGTAATTAAAATATTTCGCAAAGCAATTTCGTCACATTCGAAAAACGGGAACAAAAAAGTCGTACACGTAAGTGGTTGCATATGTAGGTAGCTACATTGGTACTTCCCCGAACAACAAAACAAGTACAGGAAAAAAAGAAAATTACATCATTTCCACCGTGTTCGTTAGTATATGTACACTTTATGGATACTTGAGCAGTGCGTTTGTGTCATAATTAGCGAAACTAGTACAAGTTTAATATTCATTTATGCAAAAGTAGCATTTTGTTACAAGATTACTTTTACTCCATTTGATCTACAGCTGTCAAATTTGATATTTATTACGGTTAATTAGAATACCGGGTAATAACATGTGTCCGTTTCGTTTATAATTGTATTATTTGCATAAAAATTATTTTTTACATTCGTACATGTACCTAATACGTAGACGTACAGACAGACGGGGGCGTGGTCAGATGCATTTTAATGCCCCATTGCCAATTACTATAATACGCTCAGTATCAGTATCAATATCGAAGAATTAAACGGCTTAAGTCCGTGGCGAAAAATAATACGCATATTACAAGTGCAAAGAACTCTCACGAACTTAGCAATATAACAAAGTATAATAAAAGGCTTTGCATTTTTAAAATGTTCCCATTAATTTTCTCCCAAGCCGTGCGAGCCCTGCTTCCTATCTCCGATGTATGTATATCTACATTTCCAACAAAAGTTTTATGAAGCAGCTGCAATAATAATACATACACACGCATGAAACGACTAATTAATTGCTGCAAGTGTATGGATGTCATAACTACTTAGTGCCTTTTAAATTTTCCGAACGCCCGTACGCTAAGGGGTCTTGTCGACAAGTTTCACCTGGTACGGGAAAAAGCGAATATTATAATTTGAAAGAAAACAATTTTTTACAAATTCAAAAAGTTTCGTACCTCAAGCTGTTGTTTATAATAAAATGGATGTTTGCAAGATGATTTATGGGAATAAAACTAGACATACATACAGTACCCATGCATGTTAATGGGATCTACACATCCGTTATTTTTTCTTGTTTTAACAGTTTTTCAATGTGTTCTATTTTTAAAAAGAAAATCCTCGTGAATAAATTGAGAGCCAATCTTATAAGACTCAGCGTACAGCATTTGATATTCTCGTACTTGTTAATATGAATTCGAAAAATTTAAAATTTCAAATTAAAAGTTGAAATTACGGAAAAATGCACCAAAATAGTAAGGAGAGAGTTAGGATCCCGCTGCCTTGTGTGGACTTCATGAGTAAGGAGACCATATGATCCTTGGACTAATTCTGAATCACCGGAGAGTACTCTGTCGCCAATTTTCACGTTTTTTAATAATTAATTTACTATACCTTAACAAAACATATATGTAAAGTCCTTATTCACGGGTAACGCAACTCATTTCCAATCCCACCACATAAAAACTCTTCCGTTTGGATTAGTCCTTTGATATCAATTTTTCTTAAGTGCCTGAACTATAACTGTCGCATATCGCTTTAAAAAGATTTTGAAAATCAATCTATTATGCCAGCTGGTAATTTTCAAAAATGACCCACCAGCACAGGTTTATCGTTTATCTAATCGAACTTCCATAAGGTAGATGTTAAATTGGCTACTTGTTTTTAAAGTTATACATGTGTCAGGTTTGCCTCATAAGGTCCTTATGATGAATTTATAAGGTATACTTTACTTCAGTAAGAAATTTACTGGGAAATCTCTGTTTGATGGGCGGTAGGCGCTGTAGAAGTCGAAAAGAAATAGACCAGATAGGTCTTAGACATCAAGAAATAGTTAGAGACATATTAGAAGCAGAAACAGAAGTTAAGAGGAATATAGGTAGACCTAGATTAGATTACTGTTCACAAATAGTAAAGGATGTGGGTTGTTATAGTTTTAGGGAAATGCGAAGATTAGCTCAGGATAAGAAAAAGTAGAGGTACGTGCCCAACCAGACGTCTTAGGAGTGATGACCTTATGGTGTAATGAATCATTTTCGATGTATTTTTCAAAGGTAAATTCAAATCTAGTTGCTTTAAAATGTTAAAATTCCAAAATATCCTAATCTCAAAAATCCAAACAACCCAAGTTGACTATGACAGTAAAAAGTGGAGGTGTGTGTTCAGTCAGTTTTTGGTTTAAAGACGTCTTTAATGTTGATTACTATTTATTTTTGTAAATACAGATTCTTATTGCATATTAATTCAATATAGCATTTCTTAATGTAAGCAATTTTATTTTATTTTGGTTCATTCTACTGTGATGCACCTGATAGTGAATTTCATAATTACGAAAGCGCATCTTCACAGTAGGTACGACTGTGGTTATTTGGAAAATGTTGTAGCAATTTTCCGTAAATTCATCAATAAATATAAATTGTCTCATTAGTACAATTTCGAGGTACTTAATTGGATTCTGTATCATGTACCTAATTATAGTCGTGAGAAGTAGAAAGAATGTTAACACATTTTCCTCTAACTAGAAGCGAATTTATTACGGTGTCTGCCTCGTCTGGTTACCTCACGACCTGTATCTGGAAAGGCGTGCTCCTTGTATTTAGCCACAATTAATACTTCTTTAGTAAACGTTTATTTAGTAAATACTGTCTCTGTAATCGTCAATTCACGTACTAGTGTTAACTTCTCGGTACACATACTTCTCGGAAGTAGCATTGTGGGTATTTAAAAGTTTTATTATTCTCCTGTTTGACCAGCAGTTGTGAAAATTAAACAACTTGGAAACTTCCAGCGCAGCCTGTCTTTCGTTACCGTGTGTGTATGTATTTTTCTATCGTAATAATATCTAACAATCTTCGACTAATAATGGATGTTGATCCAAACAATTACACCAAATGTATCTAGGCTCGATCATCATCGATCATCTCCTCAATAATAAATTAGTCAGATGAAGGATAAGGAAACGTAATTCTAGTTCTGGGCTTGAGTATATACGACAGATCTCTGGCTATCTCCCGAGCCTGTGATATTGCAAAGAATAAAAAACTAACTGAGAAGCTCAAAGCTCCACAAAGGATTGAGGAGTTCGCTGTAGAAAGTAATGTCAAAGAACTTACGAAGAATTAAGCCATTTATGAGTTTTGCAAATCAATAATCCTGAATAAAGTAGTAATCTCTCTGGTAGCTCTTTTAATGAAAATAATCGGCGCTGATTGGGGGTATAAGAATATTTACTGGAATAAACCTACACAGATGTTGTGCCTTGGTTTAACGCTTTCACAAGGCTACAGTACATGTATGTAGGGAAGAAATGGAATAAAAATAACTGTGTTATTAGATACCTACTAATATGTTTATTTCTGTTGATAACTCAACTTTTGGTTAAAATACCATGAACCCCTAGACGTCCGTAAGGATACGGGATGATTCCTACTGGTTCATACTTTCTAAATAATTTTGTAGGTACTTGCTTTTTCTGCCTAGTACTTATTTAAAAAAATATATTTATTTGACGTAATTTCCATAAGTCCGCAAAACCTATTAAAACACAACATACTACAATAGTTCAAAGATTATCTTAGCCTTATCTTGTACCTATCTTCTTGCAACAACATAAAACTTATTGTGTCCTTTTATAAGTATATGCACTAAGTGATTTCTTCAGGCTTTTGAAAATACAACCCTTACGATTACGTCAGTATCTCTGTATGCATGTATAAGTGACCACAATTGAATAAATATTTTCATGAATTTGTTGGGTTCGATTGGTTTCTGGACAAGAAGGAGCCAATGATAAATAGAGAAATAATGAGAAGACCGTTTAAACTATTTACTTTTCATTGTTCAACGACGGGGGGTACTACGTCGACGGGGGGGCAGCATAAATACCAATTCATTCATAATGCAGGTCTGTCATTTCGAATTCCTATCGCTGCTGATGCTGGTTGCGTCTCGCCGTGGGTCATGGGACGGATAGATGATGA